TTCTTCTTCTTCTTCTTCTTCTTCTTCTTCTTCTTCTTCTTCTTCTTCTTCTTCTTCTTCTTCTTCTTCTTCTTCTTCTTCTTCTTCTTCTCCACATGGGGTCTCTTTTGATAGGGTTGCCAGTTCTGGGTTGGGAAATTCCTGGTGGCTTGAAGCCCAACGAGGTCAGAGTTGGGGAGGAAGGGCACTTCAGCAGGGTATAATGCCGTAGAGTCCGTCCTCCAAAGCAACCATTTTCTCCAGGGGAAGTGATCTCTGCCGTTTAGAGATCAGCAGTGATTCCAGGAGAACTCCAGCCCCCAACCGGAGGGTGGCAACCCTAGGGGGTCCAATTAAGTAGTGGGCGGGGCATGCGGAACTCAGCCCACACCCACTCAGCCAGCATAAGCCCCAAGCCGATTCGGTTGTGCAAACTGGCCTTTGTAATCTGGGGGTGAAATCCAAACTCTCAGTGCTCTCAGGCATGGGTGGCTTAGTTCTGTGGTGCAACGCAACAGACGTCTCCGTGTGCTAGCAGGGGACCGAACTGGCCTTGACTGGAATTAAGTGGGCCACGTTGTTACACTAATGACCTTTAACAATCCTTCCTGGCCTGGGACCCACCCATCCAGAGGACGGGCTGTACACATTTATCCTCATGCATCAGTTGTGGTCTTCAAGTTGCCACCTGATGGGGGTGCCCTGACTGCAGGTGGTGGCCCAACTGGTGCTGATAAGGGCCGGTGCTTTCCCCGTGGCCACTCCGGCTTCATGGGACAGGAGGCGGAGGGGGGCTACGCTTGGCAACTTTGGGGAGATGCTCTAAAGCGGCTTTATTCACCACAGCTTCTAATGGAGTGTAAGTTGCAAGCCTTGCGGTAGGTGCGTGCCTGCAAAGGGCATTGGGGTTCTATGGTCGTCTGATGCTCTCCATTACCGTAAACCACCCTGAGCCATGTGACAAGGCGGGATGTAGATGTTTCAATCAATCAGTCAAAGTTGTGAAAGTACATGATGTCATTAGGCCCCACCCTGTGAATCTCAGAGTTTCGGAGGCTGGAGATGGGACATTAGACAACACTTAGAAGGGGCCTGTTTTATCATCACAGGGTAAGGAAGCCACCATTAGGGTCGGGTGCTTTCCCTGACCACCCTCCCAAGGCTTTGTACTTGCTCGGCAGTGCCGCTGAACCGAGCGCGCTCAGAACTGCAGCCAATCAGGGCACGGAGTCCAGAAACACTTGCTCAGCTTCCAGAATGGGCAGTGGGGAAGCCCCAGGTGCAGTGCTACCTCTAAGCCAGGGGTGGCCTAACTTCAGATCGATTCGGGAGCCACGTGCGGCTCTTTCACACAGTCTAATTTGATGTTCATAAAAAGCAAATTTGCATATTTTAAAATAAAAATGTGCGTGCGATTAATTGTTCGTGTCTTGCGGCTCTCAAACATCTGGCATTCATTCTGTGTGGCTGTTACGTGAAGCAAGTTTGGCCACCCTGTGCAGTCTCGTGAGCAAAAATCCTACTTTGTGAGCTACTGGCATGAAAGTTGTGAGCGAGCGACTTGGCTGCTACATAAATGAGTTTGCTCTGGAGCCCTCCTTCCCGAGCTGAGACAAAAATGTGTGAGCCGGAGGCTAAAAAACTGAGCTAGCTCACACTAACTCAGCTTAGAGGGAACACTGCTTGTGAGCTCCTGGCACTAAAGTTGCGAGCCAGCGACTTGGCTGCTGCATAAATTAGTTTGCTCTGGAGCCATCCTCCCTGAGCCGAGACAAAAACGTGTGAGCCGGAGGCTAAAAAACGGTGAGCTGGCTCACACTGACTCAGCTTAGAGGGAACACTGCTTGTGAGCTCCTGGCATTAAAGTTGCGAGCCAGCGGCTCGGCTGCTGCATAAATGAGTTTGCTCTGGAGCCATCCTCCCCGACCCAAGACAAAAACGTGTGAGCCGGAGGCTAAAAAAACGGTGAGCCGGCTCACACTAACTCAGCTTAGAGGGAACACTTCTGGCAACTCGTCCTCCTTTTATCCTGGAGAGGTCTGGCTGTTCACTTTTGCCTCCCCTTCCGCCCGTTCCCCTTCCCTGCAGGTGAAGCGGCCGGCCTGGCTCTCGGTCTGGTAATGCTGGGATCGAAAAATGCCCAGGCCATCGAGGACATGGTGGGCTACGCCCAAGAAACCCAGCACGAGAAGATCCTGCGGGGCCTGGCGGTCGGCATCGCCCTGGTGATGTACGGGCGGATGGAGGAGGCGGACGCCCTCATCGAGAGCCTCTGCAGGGACAAGGTGAGCGGCGCTACTCCCCAGAAGCCGCCCGGCGGCACGGAGGGATCTCTCTGCCCTTCTGGATCTGTCCGCGTCGGCTCAACGTGTGTCCGGGGTTGGGGAGCACCCCCTCCCTCCAGCGTGCTTATCGAGGCCGGCAGGTGGGAGGGAAGCAACAGCCTGCTACTCAGTGGGCTCCGCAATATGGTCCCCTGCTGGTCTCCAGGGAGAAGGGGGCAGGCCCTGTGTAGTCGCGGGCAGTGGGCTGCCGCCACTCTGATATGGGTTTCCTCAGGAGGGCCGAGAGCATCCACCCTACCCGTTTATACACTCCTTTTCCAGCAGGTTCTCCCTCTGATGCTGGAGGACATCCGATTGTGGGTGATCCCCACCCTCTTTCCAGGGAGGCAGGACTTCCAAGAACTTCCTGTTCCTGTGGTGGGAGTCACCCCCATCCTCAGTTCTTCAAGTGGTTAAGACGCTGAACTGCAGGCTGCGGAAGGTCGGTAGTTCAGCGGTTTGAGACCCAAGTGTGCCGCATGATGGAGTGAGCTCCCGTCTCTAATTCCAGCTCCTGCCAACCTAGCTGTTCGAAAGCAAGAAATTGCAAGTAGATAAATAGGTACCACTTCGGTGGGAAGGTAACAGCATTCCGTGCGCCTTGGTGAAACGGAGATGAGCACCACAACCCTAGAGTCGGACTCGACTGGCTTTCGAGCAAGGGAACCTTTACCTTTACCTATAATCCAATAACATAACTCTCTCCACTCCATGCATAATTTTATCAGTGTCTGTCGTGTGTGTGTCCCAGTCCCCTTTCTGAACGGAAAAGTCCCAGGCACTTCGGCTTTTCCTCCTAGGGAAGGTGTCCCAACCCCCTGATCCTCTTGGTTGCCCTCCTCTGTACTCTGTACTTTTCCCAACTCCACAATGTCCTTTCACGTACTTAAGATCAGTGGCCAGAGAAGTTCTTCCAAACTTTTCCTCAAATGGAAAGGACTGACTTCTAATAATAATATCTTTCAATTTATTAATCGCTCAGTCCTGCAGAGCTGCTGGCTCTGAGCGATTTACAGTTACACATATTCACACGGGACTAGCAATGATTCATAGGGGGTAAAGGAGGACAACATATAAATCTTTTAAAGTCGCACACGTTTGCAGCCGACAGGGGTTTTGTTCAGCTGTAGACTTAGACGTGTTCCACACGGCATTCACTCGGCTTGGCTTGATGACGTCTGTTTTTCCAGGACTGTTTTGAGTCGCAGCGTTGCACTGCACCGCAACCCTAGAGTCGGATTCGACTGGCTTTCGAGCAAGGGAACCTTTACCTTTACTTTTTATAATCCAATAACATAACTATCTCTACTCCGTGCATAATTTTATCAGTATGTATCGTGTGTGTGTGTCCCGGTCCCCTTTCTGAACTGAAAAGTCCAAGACGCTTCGGCTTTTCCTCCTAGGGAAGGTGTCCCAACCCCCTGATCCTCTTGGTTGCCCTCCTCTGTACTTTTCCCAACTCTACAATGTCCTTTCACATACTTAAGATCAGTGGCCAGAGAAGTTCTTCCAAACTTTCCCTCAAATGGAAAGGACTGACTTCTAATGTCTTGTAGTGGTGACAGGAATCCAAGTGCTAGCTTGCTGCTGTCCCAAGTAGTCTTGGATGGAGCAGGGTAGACACTTACCGTAGGTACTGAAAAGGAAGATGACCCAGAATGTAAAATGACCTCCTTTACTTTTATTTATTTTATTAATTAATTACATTTCTAGGCTGCCCTCCCCTGCGAGCAGGGCTCAGGGCAGCTTACAACTGAGATATAGAATAAATATATAAATTAAAACTTTTAAAACCAACAAAAGAAAGCAACAGTCCTTAGTAAAATCTACCGGGTCCAAGAAGGCTAGCAGTCAGAATTCCTGGGTTGCTTAGAAACAACAGAGAGATCACGGGAAGGATGCAAGCAATGACAAAAACAACTGTAATGTTATATTATGAAAATATATTTAGACTACTATTCTGTACATAAGAACATAAGAGACGCCAATGTTGGATCAGGCCAAAGGCCCATCCAGTCCAAGACGCTGTGTCACACAGTGGCCAAAAATACCAGGGGCCATCAGGAGGTCCACCAGTGGGGCTAGGACACCAGAAGCCCTCCCACTGTTGCCCCCCCCACGGGAATTCCCCATGGGAATTGCATGTAATACTGTTTCACATAACAGCCTTTTTCTAAGCGTGCTGCGCGAATACCATTAGTTTACACGTCAACAATTCTAATCCGTGAATTAACACACAACATGGTAGTCGCGCAGCACACTTACAAAAAGCTGTTATGTGAAACGGCATTATATGCAATTCCCATTGTGTGTGTGCGTATGTTTTGATAATGTGATGAAGAAATACAATTCACTACAGAATAGTAATCTAAATGTATGTTCATAATATAACATCACAGTTGTTTTCGTCATTGTTAGAATTCCTGGTTGAGCAGATTGCAGACCTCACAGAAGAAACTCGTGAAAGATGGGATGGGGGGACATAAAGGGTGGGAGGTGTAAGAGGGTGCCAGATCACATAAGTGTGCCGTCTCTGTCCTCAGCCGAAAGCCTGACGGAACACCTCTCCCTTACACACCCTGCGGAAAAGCAACAAACTCTACCACGCTTGGATGTTCTCATACCCCCACCCCCAGTTTTATTATTGGACATAAGCCAGGGCTCTTTTTGTAGAAAAAGCCCAGCAGGAACTCATTAGCATAATAGGCCGCACCCAACAGCAGAAACTCATTAGCATATCAGGCCACACCCCTGATAGCACAGCTCATTCGCATATTAGGCCGCACCCCCATGTCACCAGAAGTGTGGTCATCC